GTACCTTTTGCTTGGTAGAGGCTTTCAACAACGTGGATTACTGCTGCCATGTTCAATGTTTCCTATCCAAGCTGGCTGGCGACTGACTCGCACCGAAGTCAGATTCAGAGTTGCTTCACGACTGGCGGTTTACCGTCAATTAATTCGTCTTTTCGCCAAGCCCCTGAGGCTCACGACCAGAGATGTTTTTTCTTCAACTGAGCCCTTCCGGTAATGGTCTTTATGTAATATCCTCTCTGACAAGAAGATGGGATTGCCACTTTAGTCTGAATCTTACGACCGACGGTCAGTCGGCCAGTGTGTCTTGGAATAAAGTACCCATCTGGGGTTTTCGACCAGATTTTTATTAGTCAAACAATTGCGGGGTTCTAAATGTGGAGAGCTCTCACCGACGAGAGGACGGGTCTGTCGTTTAAAATTGCTGCCGGCCCTCGCCAACACAGCTGAGACCATATATTACTGTCTCATATTCGAGACTTCTTTTCGTCGCCTCCTACAACTCGCAGGGCTACGGCGGAGGTATTCGACCCTGCCTCCAAACGCAATTCGATTTGCCTCTTTATGTCAAAGTCGCATTGCGACTGACGGCCAATGAGTAAGTCTTGGTGTCGAAGACCAGATTCCCTTGGGACCCGCGATCATATTTTGTCTCAGATTTGAGACTTCCTTTTTCGTCGCCTCCTACGACTCGCAGGGTCACGGTGGAGGTATTCGACACCGCCTCCACACGGGTTTCTGGGGCTTGCGTCGCAGTTGGACTCTTTTTAACTTCCACGCGGACTCGATAGGGAATCCCATCTCGAAGTGTTCGTTCATTCGCTCGCTGCTGTCGAAACGCTGCTCCAACAATTCGTGTGTAACGGTGGAAACTCCACTGTTAAGTTGCTAGCGTTCTGCTTCCTAGCCGCTGTCGTGGGAACGTTGGTCGTTGCCTAGGAAATCAACTCTGATCTCCTCAACCATTCCTAGCCGCTGTCGTGGGAACGTTGGTCGCTGCCAAGACATCAACTCTGATCTCCTCAACCATTCCGGTTTTCTGGGGGCACGCCACAATATATAGATGATAGGCATCTGTTTTATTTATAAAGTTTGCCCTAATGATTTTCTCGCATTCAGTCATAAGTTCTTGTTTTAATGGGTGATTGCAATTTTTCTTTTTGGAGTGTTAATTTTATTTAAGTGAAATTCATTTTTCGGAGCAACCATAATTTTTATACCTATAAAATCTAGTAAATATGTAGTTGAGAGCGCTCTGTATTTGCTGATTGTTCTTGCAATGATATTTTGGTGAATATATTTTTAATAATATTCCCCAATACGCATATTATTTTAACAAGGTTTTGAGGGGGAAAATTAGAAGCATGTTTACAAGTACAGTACTGTATAATACAGAAAACTCTTGATTAAATGTTTGCTAAGATTCATAAGTGTGAGACTTAAGGGTCTCTAGAAAATGTGTCTAAATCAGATAACATTATCTCTACAAAGACAGGAACTACACTTACGCTCCAATTCACTAATTAATTCTGTTCCTATTATTTCAGATTACAGACTAACGAATGTGACAATTAGATATTTATTGAGGGCGGTAAAATTACTAGACTCGATTATATCTGTAATGGTGTTCATCAAGACTCTAATGACAGACAAATGTGAAAATAAAATACGTAAAGGCATTATTTTTATGTTGTAGGACGGCGACATTACTGGACTCTCTTCTCTCTGCAATCATGTTCACGCAAATTCTATCAGCAGCTATACTCTTTGCTTTCATAGGAATCCTAGCAGCGGTGAGTGACGAAACAGCTGCACAGGTTATGACTTCCAGGCATATCATGTGATTTGAATTTTTACATTTAAAATATGCATGTCTACTTTTAGTTTAAAATTTAGTACGTATGTGGTAGTAAGTTGGAACCGAGGCCGCGCCATAGCTCAAGCGGTTAGTCGTTGGCTACCCACCGCGGCAAACCCGGGTTCAATCCCGGGTATGGTCAAGTGGGATTTGTGGTGGACAAAGTGGCGCTGGGGCAGGTTTTCTCCGAGTACATCGGTTTCCCCTGCCAATCTTCATTCCACCAATTGCTCCACAATCACCCTCACCTATCATTTGGGGCTGGTGCAATAAGCCAGAAGTGGCCGCAGTACAAGGGGCTTAGTCCCACCCCACTAGCAATAAAAAAAAGTTGGAACCGAACTTGTTTAAATACTAGACTTTCAAATTTATACTTGTACCACGGTTCTATAGAATTCCGTCGTCATTTTGACAATTCTCACGTATCACCTTGTGATGGCCTCTCTGGGCCGAACAAACACATTAGTTTGTGACGGTAATCCTTACACTTTATTAGCCCACTTCAACAAGTCAAAGATGATGAGATGGGCAGGTAATGTGGCACAAATTGGGGCGAAGAGGAATGGATATACGATATTGGTGGGAAACCCAGAAAGAAAGAGATCACTAGGAAGACCAAGACTTGGGTGGGTGGACAATATTATGAATGAAGGAATGTATAAGGGGTGGGCCTTCTTGGCCCTTGTACCTCGACCACAGCGATCTAATGTGCCTCCCCTTCTGATTATCCCCTCAACAATCCTGCACTTCGAATGAAGGGTAGGATTTTGTACGTGGGGACGTCGAAATAGTCACTTAGTTCCATAAAGTATTGACCCAAGTGGTGCCATCTTAAACAAGCTAAGGCCTCACATTCGCACAGAATATGTGTGGCTGTTTAGTTTTCTTCTTGACACCTCTCACAAGTTGGACTATTACTTGGTCCCAATTTGAAGAGGTGTCCTGTGAGGTGACCGTGTCCTGTAAATAGTCCCACCGCCCATCGTAGCTGGTTCCTGTTTAACTTCAACAGTTCCTTCGCTCTTTTAGTAGAGAGTCCTCGTATGAGTCCCTTTGCTTGCCTCAGACCAGTCAAGGATCCCCAGTATTTCTTGTGTTTCATGTTTGTCCAGTCCCTGATTGCCTGTCTGGCAACTCCTATAGAGATGCCACAGGCTGGTTCAGGTCCTACGAATGGATGTTCAGCTGCAGTCTTAGCCAATTGATCTGCTGTTTCGTTTCCAGCAATACCCTCATGCCCCGTCACCCATATCAGTTGTACCCTGTTATGTTTGGCCAGTTCCATGAGGGTTTGGTGGCAATTCCAGAAAACTTTTGAGTTGATTTGGTATTTGTCAAGCGCTTTAAGTGCAGCCAGACTGTCAGATGGCATGTAGATGTTCCTATTTCTGTAGGTCCTATCTAAATTCTCCATAATACATGCCTTAATGGCATATACTTCTGCCTGGAATACTGTCGTGTACCGCCCAAGGCTGAAACTAAGTTTCCGCCTCGTGCCATAGCAGAATACAGTAGCTCCAGTGCCCTCATTTATCTTGGAACCAATGGAAAATATTAAAATGGAACTTTTTTTTTTAATTCGCTTAGGGGAGGTGGACTCAAACTGGGTCCACTCGGCAAGCCAGCCACTGATTGGCCTATTGCAGCCTGCCCCGGGTGATTATGATGATGGAGAATTTGGTGGAATGAAAACTGGCCGGGAAACCGAAGTACTCGGCTGCTACGTAACATTTAGGTAAACACGTTCCCGCTGCAACGGACTCAGTTGGTACGTGACATTTAGGTAAACACATTCCCGCTGCAACGAAAACACACGCAACAATAGAAGAATTGTTGAACGCGTCGTTACCTATACGATCCGTGTCATATCAAAGGAAAGTATTACATTATATCTACCCGGAATTTATTTTTATATCACTCAGCAGTTATACAGTTATCTTTAGTCCAATTTTCAGTTAAGCAAGCTTGTCACAGTTTGTAGTTCCCCCATTTGTCTGTCATGGTGACCATCTCTTCTCGCCATGCTTTCATTTCGGCCTGTCTGTCGTCCTCTAGTTTGGCCAGTAGTTCTTTGTGGCCGGTCTTCATTTCTTCCTTGTCGGCTTTTCTATCGGCGTCCATCCTGGCCAGCAATTCTTCTTGGGCGGCTTTTCTATCGGCGTCCGCTTTTTCTTGGATGACCTTCATCTCTTTCAGCAGGAGTTCCATCATCTGCTGTGAGTCCGTTCTAGCTCGTGTGGCGTTATATAGGCGTTCAGGTTCCAACGGTATTTCTGTCTGTAGCTCTCGGCTTATGTACGTGTTATGCGAACTGGATACCAGACATCATTTCTTACGGTTCCGTTGCTACTGTCCGCTGTTACGTAACGGGCCTTCTGTTGTCCATCTCCGGGGAAACGCGTTCGTTGTTTCGGCGTTATCTACGCAACGGCTCATTGTTATTGCGTTGCCATGGAAGAGCCTATTCCAACAACGTTACAGTATCATGTCCATGTATTCGTATGTCTTACGTTATCACACTAGAGGGTGCCCCACATACCTACTTCCTTAGTCCCTACCATATTAATACGTGCAATTTCCTGAGACTGAAGACACAATGGCCTCATTTAATATATTCACTCTGCTGATGATATTAGGCTAAAATATAAGATTTGTGTATTGCATATGTATAAATTTTATATTGTATGGCAAGTAATTTGTTCCAGTCTGCTGAAGACAGTGGTGTACGCATAATTGCGTTAACTTCTTTGACTTACGTGATACTGGAGACCGGATTGGTCTGCTGGATTGCCGACGAACTCAGCACACAGGTAAAATATTAAAAATATTGCACTACCTCGCTATAATTCTGTATTTCTTAGTACGTGTAGTTTCACGTGACGAAGTGACAAATTTTAACTCAACGTCGAGCCACTAGCGGTCAATAATACTATGTGATGAACCTTCAAAGTCTGAATCTTTGAATCAGAGAAGCGATGCGAAGCTACGCAACGGCTTTTTGAAAGACGTTTCAGGGGAAACAAATACGCACAATACTGTACAACAACTGTTGAGTGCGGTGTTCTCTATTCAGTCTGCAACAAATTTACGTAGTATACTAATTTACTGGAATTGAAATGAAGTGAAATGTGGATTGATATTGGAAATGGAAGCGAACTCGGGTAGCGAAACTGCACAAACATTTCTCGAAAGGAGGTTGAGGCGCAGTAGTCCCAATGGCTTCAAAACTTTCAGTTACTTACGTAATAAAAATTTACTTTGTGACGCGGTCCTACGGTTGGAAGACGGTGGTGGTTTTCCAGTTCACAGAGTGATTCTCTCCACATGCAGCGCATATTTCAAGACACTTTTCACCACAACATTAAATTCTAAGGAAAAGACAGACGTCCTCTTGCCCGGAGTGACCTCAAAGACCATGACTTTCATATTGGATCACTGTTATATGAGGAAAGTGGACATCAACGAGGAGAACGTGATTCAGCTGTTGGTGTCTGCTGGCTACTTGATGATGGAAGATCTTATTGAACTCTGCTGCGGCTTCATCAGGAGCATGCTCGTCCCTGAGAACTGTATCGGCATCATGCGATTCGCAAGGGACCACTGCTTCCCCAGCCTTGAAGAGGCCGCACGCTGCTTCGTGATGCGCAACTTTGCGCAAATATCGCAGAAAAGTGATGAACTACTGGAACTGCCGCTAGAGGAACTACAAGGTCTCATAAGTTCAGACGAACTGAATGTGAAAACTGAGGTGGTTGTGTGGGAGAGCGTTCTTCGTTGGATCAACCACGACACGGAGAACAGAAAACACCACATCATGAAGCTCGTGAAGGGAGTCAGACTAGGACTCTTGGACTCACAATTCTTCCTTGAAAATATTATGGATCACCCTTATTTTGATGGACATGAAGAAGCTCAACACATTTTAATAGATATTCTTCGATTCCTGATTGAATTGGAGCTAGCAGACTACAAAGACATCGAAATTCCGACTCATGAGTTTGCCCATCCACGTATTCCGCACGAGATTCTGTTTGCTATTGGAGGAATAACCAGGTTAAATATTACGAATTCCATCGAAACGTACGACCCACGGGCAGATCGATGGGTTCAAATAAATGAGGCCGATATGACGGACTCGCGAACGCATCATGGCACTGCTGTGATTGATTTCAACATTTACGTGATCGGCGGTATGGACGGAGGGGATGAATTGAAGAGCTGCCGCTGCTACAACGCTGTGTCCAAAACGTGGAGCGAGGTATCGCCGATGCACGTAAGAAGATGCTTCGTGAGCACGGCCGTGTTGGATGGATTGGTATACGCTATTGGTGGCTTTGATGGCTACAGCCGCCAGAAAACGGTTGAGCGGTACGACCACAAGAAGAACCAGTGGACCATGATCGCTCCCATGAACATGAAGCGCTCTGATGCCGGTGCAACTGCGCTCAACGGTAAGATCTATGTCATTGGTGGATTCAACGGTCAGGAATTCATGAATTCAGCAGAGGTCTACGACCCAGAGTTGAACGAATGGACGCTCATTCCGCGAATGCGTTTTATACGTAGTGGCATCTCCTGCATCGCTTATCACGGACATGTGTATACCATGGGAGGATTCAATGGCATATCTCGCATGCGCAGTGGCGAAAGGTATAATCCAACGACAAGAAAATGGACGAAGATCCCTGATATGCATACAAAGCGCAGTAACTTCGATACTGAAGTGATTGACGACAAGATATTTGTTGTGGGCGGATTCGACGGTTACACCACCATCAGTAGCGTCGAATATTTTGATGAAATGTCAAATGAATGGTTTGAAGCTCGTAATATGAACCTGTCTAGATCAGGTCTGTCGGTTTGCTCTATGATGAGTTTGCCGAACGTATGTGATTACACGAATTGATGAATGAAGGAGAAGCGTCACAAGCCGTTGCCATTGAAAAGTAAAAGAAAGCGACAAATGGAACAACAGCAGGAACAAAACAGTTCAAGCCAACAACGTGAACGCTAACCCTCAATGATGACGCGAATATGCAATGACATTCCAAGCGAAGTTCGCAGAAGAGAAGAAAGGGCAGTGGGCAAATATAAACACAAGGGAAAGTTGCCTAATATCGTGTACACTTTCTTAACTTAATTTAAGAAAGACTGTTTTAAGTTGAAGGATATTTCTTTCCAATTTACAAAATTAAGCATTTCGGCGACATTAGGAACCTGTCTCTTCGACAGTGACCAGATGATTAGGAGAAAGTTTGTTTCCCCCATCTTAAAAATGTAGAAAGACGCAGAAACATTTTCCGGCAGAAGATGCAGACTCAAGTTTCCATAACGACAATATTTAATGTCTTTCCCCCCCTTCCTTCGGTAAGCCCATCTCATCTCTGACTGCTTTAACTGTCCTCATTACTGAGACTATATCCCACATCACGCGCTCCCTTAGCTTACTTTCCTGAAGAAAGCTTATGCGAGCTCCTCCCTCTTGCCCTCTAACCCCCTTCCCCCATTAAATTTTTTAATACCCGAACCAGTCTTTATGAAACTTGTACGTCCAGCTGAAATGTGTACTTCATAAATTCCTCCCATCAGCCTGTGTGTTGCTAGGCAACGGCTCGGTAAAAATTTTACCGCGGCAATGAATACATATGCAACAACAGAAGAACTTTTGGACGCGTCGTTTACTATAAGGTCAGTTCAATTCAGTCCACCCAATCACAATCCTATCTCTAAGGTACATTTTAATGTTATGTCCCTATCTACTTCATGTTGGCAATTACGAGTACTTCTAAGCGCCACGTCCTCTTCAAACCCCGAAGCTTGAAAAGGATCGCTGTGGCTGCTTACTGCAGTGTTTTTCAATAGATAGCACGAGTCCCACGGGTGGGACACGAAGGTTGGCTGGGTGGAANTTAATTGCATTACTTCCCGGACAAACCTTCTATGCTAAGGTGAAGGTAAAGTTGTCACTGCGCTTAACTAATTAAGCACTACGCCATGAAGGCGCATGAGGGAATGCATGTATATTTCCATATTTTCTTCACCTTGGCACTAGTTGGAGGTGAATTGTCAGCTTCACGCCCTTGCTGTTTTATGCCCGGGGAAACAGCCCACGGTACCCATTGTATAGGAGGCTGGGAAGGCTCCAGACCCGGTCTGGATGACGTGGAGAAGAGAAAATTCTTGCTCCTGTCGGAATTCGAACTCCGACCCTTGGTGGTCCAGTCTGCGCTATTCCGGCTCTAATGCAGGCGCAAGATTCTCATTAACGCAGCACTAAGAGAATTATATTGGTTTTACATAGCTATAGTGATAAATAGCTTTATCAGAAACTGCTGCTGTATTCAGTTCCTTAGAACTTCCGTTAATGATCACTGTAATAATAAAACGTGCATAATTGTAAGAAATGTTCTTTTTGCGAAAAAAGAAGAAATTCGCATCGACTCCCTGTTCCCACGCTCTAGATTGGGCATAACTGATGGAATGTTCACAGAGCAAGATGGTTGGAGAGGCGGCATACGGCTGTGAGTGGTTTGACGAATCAATTGTTGTCCAGCATTCGATTGTCCTCATCATCATGAGGGCCCAGCGCCCGGCGAGGTTATCCGTGGGACCGTTCGGTACCCTCTCTTTGGAGCTATTCGGGAGGGTACGTAACTTCTACACTTCTAATTTAACTGTGTTTTGGGGCAAGAGAATATTTTGTCTTAAGAAAGATTAAAGTATTTCATAACGAAGAGATTTGTTCAGATTGTGGTCGTCTGGGTTGTGACACCTTGTAGCCTTTTTGGCTGATACCGGTGTTTCGGGGCAACATATTGTGACATGTTGACCCCTACCTCCCCAGCGGTACGTGGCGGTAACGTAACGCTCGCGTTCTTACGGTAATAGGCGAGTTCCCGCCCCGCCACTCCCCTCCGCGGTGACGTCACCGAGGGATATCGCGGTCGCTAGGCAACGCGAGTCAACAGCGGCGACGTTACGATAGTAACAGCGGTTACCTCCGCTAGCGTTACATAGCAACACAGCGCCAGGCAACAAGAGTGCCTATTACGTGGCCGTTTTCCCGTATTGTCCGATCGAGGCTACATGAGGCGCAGCGAAGGCTATTCACAGAGCAGTTGTACTAGTGCGTCACCACCGAGTTGTACTGTGACAGCCGCTGAGTCGAGACGTAGAGTCAGCGAGCCAGTTGTATTCTGGCATTTGGAGTGTACTATTTGTGATACTGTAGATAGCAGTAATCGTCAGATTGTAATTTGGGTGATTGTAAGAGCGAGTGTGAAATAAAAGTCGCTATATAAAATACGCCGTGAACTTATTTGTCGCGATATAAGCCCGATACGCGACAATATGTTCCCATCTTCAGTAGGCAAGAATCTGGAAAATCACCGCCGTGAAAAACGTTGAAACCTATACAGCAGGCCCGTTGTTAAAGTGAACACAGACAAGAACAACATATTCATAAGTTATTATGAGTTAGCTTGTTTCTTCGCTCAGCTGGTTAGACCTTTGACCAGATACTTAACTAGGTATAAAAATTAGATTATTTAAGTGATTAATCATCTATTCAATTTGTGGGTTAATTAGCATTATCACGTGTCCGGGGTGTGCGCCATTTATAGAGTGGTTTTGAATTACATGATCGGATTTATTGACGCCTTCTACACTTACTTCGTAACTACAAGCGCTATCGTTATTTCCACACCTTAAAATTCACACTGTTACACATGCCAGTGTTCTCAGTCTTCACTAGTCGTATCCTGGCAACGGATTCATAACAGTCTCACTGTAACTGCAGAACACTATGAAGCCTTCTTCGGTCAGCCTAATTCCTTTCTTTTCATTTATTCTCATTTGTTCTGCTAACTACTTAACTCGTAGACTCTCACAAATATATCTATTGTCTGAGATCCTTGCTATATAACTTCGGGGCGGCACTCCATAGAAAACACCGTTTCCAACAATACCTCTATTATTGTGTGTTCACTGATCTGTTGTTGAAAAATGGATTCTACTATTGTTACACGACTTCGCTTCGGCGGGAATGTTTACCGAACCGTTGCCTAGCAACGAGTTACTCCGGTTTTCAGGCGTCATGTCACAGTATTGAGGCGTGGCGCCTAAAAGCTGGATTATATGACGTCCATTGCTACCGAACGGCTACAATGAGAACTCATTCTTCAGTGGCAATGAATACGTAGGCAGACCGCTACCTATGAAACTGCCTACGCAACAGAGACAGAATTGTTGCGTTCCCGTAGCAAACGGATACGCTAGGCAACGCTGCGTCGCAGACAGACAGAACCTTGGACAAGGTATTCTCTCGGCAGTACGGGAAGATCTACTTTAAGTGTGCAGACTGCGACAGTCAGAAGATCAGATGAAATCAAACTAGGGCAAAGATCAGATTAGTGATCGGAGTGAGAAGAGAGACCCGCTGAACCAAGATCAGGTCCGAGGAGATCGGAATTGAGACGAGACGAGACGAGACAGGGCGGAGGACCAGAGAAAGGTGTCAGTGATCACAGACGATGAGATAGTCAGGCAGCATCGCTTGGAAGCAGTTATGCCAGAGTGATTTTAGTCAGTGGGATTGTAATCCCGGACGAGTTGTCCAACAAAGCAGCTTCATCAAAGTCCGTAAGCCAGTTTATTTGTCACGGAACCCCGGACACGTGACAATACATTTCTTTGTTGGTTACTTGTCTATTGGTTAGGCAGATAGTTAGCCATATTTTGATCATTTAGTTAGTTTAGTTTCTTATTATTTAGGTAAGAAGATTTGTTGTAGGATAATACTTTTGTAGGTTCATTGGTCGGGTCTAATTCAGACCTTAAAATCAACTCCTTTACACGTAGTCATGAGATGGCCGCGCCATAGCTCAAGCGGTTAGTCGCTGACTTCCCACAGAGGCGGCCTGGGTTCGATTACGGGTATGGTCAAGTGGGATTTGTGGTGGACAAAGTGGCGCTGGGCAGGTTTTCTCCGAGTACTTCTGTTTCCCCTGCCAATCTTCATTCCACCAACTGCTCCACAATCACCCTCACCTATCATCTGGGACTGGTACAAGACGCCAGAAGTGGCCGCAGTACAAGGGACTTAGTCCCAACCCCACTAGCAATAAAAAAAAAGTCATCTGAGACCTACCGTAGAGAATCTTATACTTCCATGTGATTTTAACGAAACTGTTTCTTATGCTAAAATAAATAAACTTATGTTTGATTTCATTGCAGATTATGAACTCTGCGTACTCGTACTTCACGCTGCTTAACGGATTTAATGGGAACTAGGCCAGTTACATCTACTAAGCACACAGCACTGAATTATCCATGAAGTTTTCCGATATCCGTCCTTGCATTATGTTAAATTGCATCTATTTCAATAGGGTAGGTATCCATACATACCGTATTACTCGTCTGGCTTAAGAATGTACGAGATGCGAGGGCTTCGCAACGCTCTGATGTACTGACACGTGATGTAAGCTAATAACACTGTTCAGACGCGCTATCCTACAAGCCGGAAGTCCGTGGGTTCGATTCCCTATGAGTTTTCGGTTGACTTAATCCTTCCAGCCGCACTATGGCCCTGGGGTCGACTAAGCCTCTAACAGAAATGAGTGCTAGGAATCTTCCTGGGGGTAAAGAGCGATCGATGCCTAGGACTGACAACCTCACCGCCATCTGTGAGCCGACTGTCTAGAAAATATGGGAGATTCGACGTCTCACAAAATTTTGGGCCTCCACGGCCTGTTACAGTGATAGCTCTGATAGCTTAACTTTTACATATACCTTCCCTTCACCCTTCAAAAGTTCAAGTACTGATAAAAATAAACATCAACTCCCTCAGAGAAAAATACGCTCTTATTCGGAATGAATACAGATACTTAGCGGTGTCTTTAATTTAGTTTCCATATTTACAATTCCTCCGTCAACTGATAAAGAAATCTGAACTCTGAAGAAGCTCCTAGGAGTAAGTTTCTTCTTCAGAGATGGCAACACACACAACCAATTGGTGAAACACTAAATGACCTGTGTTCACGAGGCAGAAAGTATGTACCTGAAAGAGTCTGACATGGCGAGGAAAGAAAGGAACGAAAGGGCATGAAGTGGTGTTGCTGCATAAAAACCCTACATTTATATAAAAAGAAGTATATGTACAATAATAGTATATTCTTATAGTAAAGAGAGAGCTCTTCAAAAATCGCGGAGTGACCACTGTAATAGAATAAGATGTTTATACGACTTTGCTACAGAGGGCTGGATGGGCATTTCCTGAGACATTATTTTATATACATCATATTTTTCAAAATAAAAAAAGCACGAGATGGGGTTTTCAGCCTAATGCCACTTGTATCTTTTTCCTTCAAATAAAAATATAACTCTGAGCAAAATTTCGTGATTTTCTCGGACTCTGAAAACGTGCTAGAAGGAATTAGTAACACATCTACAACGAACAACACGTCGCACATTACTCGGATAAAGTACAAAGACTGCAGTGAGGGAAAAATCTCTATTTTACTGGATCCCGGGGCACTGTGGAGTTTAAGTTAATGAAATAGCTGACTCGGAGGCAACGCAATCAATCAAAGGCTGAGATAGACAACTATTGTTACTAGTGACAGATCTCTGAATCCAGTGGAGAAATAAAGGCAAAAATGAGCTTCAGTTTCTGTTAAAACATCAAAAGAGACAGAGGAGGAAGCTACCGTACTTTGAAAGGCACTACAGGGATGGCTCGTCTCCGTGGTTCCGCGAGATAAAAATGAAACGTCGTTTCTTCGTGTCAATAAACCGTATGAGAGCAGGCCACACCAGTCCTAAAGCAAGCCTAAACAGATTTAACGTTGTGTCCACGGCAGAATGCGAATGTGGTGATGGGCTGCAAACGGAGGAACATGTCTTCTGGGACTGTAAACTGTACGAGGACCAGCGGGCAGCAGTGACGGGCTGCAAACGGAGGAACATATCTTCTGGGACTGTAAAGAGTACGAGGACCAGGGGCAGCAGTGACGGGCTGCAGACGGAGGAACATATCTTCTGGGACTGTAAAGAGTACGAGGACCAGCAGGCAACAGTGATGGGCATACCCAGAGTCAGTTACAGAGCTCTTAAGGCTAGAAGAAGAAAGATTTGTGCAAGGCGTCTTTTACTCCATAAATAACATTATTAAATTTATTTAAAAAAAAAAAGATAATAGAAGTAAATGTACAAAATATTAATGGTATTCTCTCAGAGTTAAGGTGTACGTATATATGCAAAAAAAAAAAGTGGGGAGACTATGATAGAAAAAGATGTTTGTAACAATGCTACAGAAGGCCAAATGGGCACTGCCTAGGACATTTTTAAAAAGAATTATTAAACGCATACTTATGCAGTCACTTGCAAGCAAATGTGCTATATGACGTCCATCGCTGCGCAACGGCTTCAATAAGAAACCATACTTCAGCGACAACGAATACATGAAAATTGCTGAGTTCCCACAGCGACGAATTGAATAACAACAGCCCGTTCCGTAGGGATATCCGTAGCAACGAATTGTTTGAAACAGCGGGATTAATACATTCCCGCGGTAACAACCATAGAACACGTGAAATCGGGACCGACAGAAATCTACATACCTAATTACCGCTTTGAAGGGCCGGGCACCCTTGAAGAAGTGGGGCGCATGTAGCGCTCGGTAGATGAACGCCAAGGAAATGAAATAAGGGGAAATACCGTTAGGCTGTTCGGGAATAACAACCTTTAGAAGGGAGCAATGTCACGTGCTGTATGGCTTCCATCGCTGCGCAACGGTTGCAATGGGAACGCATACTTCAGCGTCATCGAACACATGGAAATCGTTGAGTTCCCACAGCGACGAATTGAATGCCAACAGACCGTTGCGTGGGAATATCCGTCAAAGCGGATGAAACCAAGCACTTCTACAAGGTGTTTTATGTCCATGATTTATTTAATCCGTCTTGCAGTGCATACACTCATTTATCTCCTTCTCTCCCTCTCCCTGCGAGGGAGAGGAGATAAATGAGTGTATGCACTGCAAGACGGATTAAATAAATCATGGACTTAAATCAGTGCAACAGGACGCTAAAATATAACAAAGGTGTTTTATATTGAGTAAGGATAGCATTTCCTAAGCAACGGATTGTTCGTTGCGTCCACCTTGATTCTGCGAGTCATAGGAGTCGAAAAGGGAAGTCTCAAATCTGAGACAGTAAATTAAGGTCCCGAGTCCCAAGGGACTCGGGCCCAAGAAAGACTGCGCTGGCAAGGACCAGCAGCGCACACAAAAGACAGACCCGTCCTCTCGTTAGAGAGGGCGCCCCACAAAAACAAGACCGAAACTGTCAAACAGTAATAAATATCTGGTCATGAGCCCCGCAATTACGTAACAGGGAACACCGCGGTTACTACAGAGCAATAAAGAACTCTCGGCAGCGTTCCCCAGCAACGCCTGTAAACACGACGTTACGCAACAGTGGTAGCTATCACGTATCTGTTTTCTGTGTTGTCAGTGCGGAAGCTACATAACGAGAGGATTACCAGAGTAATCTCGAGTACCAAGGGACTCGGACCCGAGAAATACTGCGCTGGCAAGGACCAGGAGCATATACAGAAGACAGACCCGTCCTGTCGTCAGAGAGGGCGCCCACAGAAACAAGACCGTAACTGTCAAACATTAATAAATATCTGGTCATGAGAGCCCAGGAGGGTGCTCGACACCAAGACTTACTTACTGACTGGCCGTCAGTCGCAATGTGACTTTGACTTTGACTTGAGTAACCAGTGAGTTGCAGTCCAGCATTCACCGGAGTGAGTTGAAGTCCATTGTTATTGTGTGTTATCGAGTGAATGTAAATGACTACAGGAGAACTATTTGTGATACTGCCGATGGCAGTAGTTGCGAGATTGTAAATTGTGTAATTGTGAGAGCGAATGTGCAGTAAATTCGCTAGATCCAATACGGCGTGAAGTTATTTGTCGCGTGACATATACCTAACAAGTGACAATATACCGTATATACTTACTTACTCGTGGAGCTGAGCCCTTCTGGAGGAACCCGAAGGTTCATTACCGTGTTCACAAGAGACCTCCATCGGTCCCTATCCTGAGCCAGATCAATCCAATCCATACCATCCCATCCTGTCTCTCTAAGATCTAGTTTAATATTGTCCACCCACTTGCACCTTGATCTTATCAGTGGTCTCTTTCCTTCTGTCTTTCCCATCAATATCCTATATGCATTCCTCTTCTCCGCATTCGTGCTACATGCCCTGCCAACCTCATCCTCCTTGACTTGGATGCACACAGTATAAAAGAAAAATTTAAAAATTGATGCCCACCTCTAAGAAAACACGACAAATATTAAAGGGTTAAGAATATTTAGGAAAAATTTTATATTTATTTATTCAGTGAACCAAAGTATATATACAAATAAACTCTGTGGCCAAGATTATTTATCTAAAATTAAAGTATGCGCTGTACATAATTACTACTAACCTACAAAGCAATAACACAACACTTAATAACAGTATGCATTTAAAGATTCCAGAGAAAAATATAACAAAAAATGCTAATTGGTAACTACGCCGTAGAACACGTGACATGTCCTGCTGGCTATTCGCGAGTCACTTCTCTGAGAATCGTGAAGTAAGAGTAAGCAGAGTTCAGAACCTGCAACAGACAGACAGGCGGCTTGCACTCTATGACATCAGTGAGCATACAGTAAACAAACAGACACTTCTCATCTACCGCCATTTCGACTTTACTCTTTAGAGCTAATGATCTCGTCAGTTATTCAATTCGTTGCTAGTAGCTTAGTTACTTAATCTGCAAGGCCGTGTCATAGCTCAGGCGGTTAGTCGCCAGCTTCCCACAGTGGCGGTCCGGGGTCGAGCCCTGGTCATATGTGGGATGTGTGATGGATAAAGTGGCACTCGGGCAGGTATTCTCCGAATACTTCGGTTTCCCCTGCCAGTTTTCATTCCACCGACTGCTCCACTTTCATCATCTAACATCCGGGAGTGGTACTATAGCCCATCAACCCTCAATACGGGTTTTGCCCTGTTATCTATTTATATATTTTCCCACTGCATATTTGCTATCCTCCAATAAAAGGAGAAGATCCTTAATCAAGGACCGTCTGCGTGTTTTGTGCGAGATGAAAACACCCTCTTATCGCCTGCTCTTCCTTCAGTGAAGTTTAATGTGCCCCATAATGTATGGTACAACGAAGACAGACAAAATCTACACTTCACTTACCTCACCTTATCTTCTTTGGAGGATAGCATTTAATTATACGTTTAATGATTTAGATAGCTCAGTTCTCTAATGCGCTGACAGAATGTTACAGACCTTTGTGAACAACTCTAGAGAGAGAGACCCAAACGGTCCGGCAGACAGACGGACTGGGCGCTGTGTCCTCATTACAATCAAGGGAATGTTCTTTTGGAACTTGGTAGATTCGTTATAGTACTCGGTTAAAAGAACAGCTGCTCCCACTTTTTCACTCTGTGGAGAGAAGTAGTAGTACTAGTTATGTTAGACTGACAGAGGTGGATAAACCGCCCGTCATCATTCCGAAAGTTCAGGCATGCGCATTTCGTTACCTGTACTTGAAGTTCGGTGGCAATCCAGCAGATCGTCCCAAACTCTATCAATACGTACCCAAGGAAGGAGATTGCTCTGATGGACTGAGCACTATCAGTGGAACTCTAGGTGAAAAGAAAAGATGCTTACGTTCATGAAAATTATGCGTATTTTGCAAGACCTTCCTATGTTAAAAACTAAAGAACTCACTCACTCACTCACTCACGGAGCTGAGCCCTCCTTGAGAAGCTGCGAAACTGTGCAGCTACTCAAGAACTTCCCAGCATTTTATGGAACCCGAAAGTTCATTACCGTATACACAAGAGCCCTCCACTGGTCACAGATTGCTCCAGTCCATACCACTCCATCCTACCTCTCTAAGATCAATTTTAATATTGTTCACCCACCTCTTTCCTTCAGGCTTTCCCACTAATATCCTAAATGCATTTCTCTTCGCTCCCATTCGTGCTACATACCCTTCCCATGAAGGTGTATGGTGGAGTAGATATCTCTACACTTTTAACCTCGGTGTTACATGGATATTGGTGACCAGCTTCACGGCCCTTCTCCTTTACCTTGGAAACCTGGGTGGACCCAAGAACTGATCCGGACGCTGTGAAGAGGAGAAACGTTCTCCTACTTGCAACTGAACTTCGATTCCCTTGTCGTCCACCCATTACTCTAATCATTATTCCGGATAAGTTATCGTTGCTCCTCAACAATGATACTAATAATCAGGTAATAGGAAATAGCAGTGTACAGTGTGTGGAGATCGAATATCTCAGTGACAAAGGCAGGAAGGCAGGCAAGCGAACCTAGGTTCTGCACTTACAGAGAGCAGAACCCCGATGAAGGCCAACAACACAGCAGTACACAGCAGCTGTACGAACATCACAGGCCTTACTGTCTCATCCAGGAGCTTGGAGTACCTGCAAGACAGCGCCGTCTTGACTTAAGACTTTTGAACAGCAGATCTAACGATGCATAAAAGGATTTCAGTTCTTGCATGAAAGTTCACAGGGAAAAAAGTTAGGAAATCTCAGGATTACTGGCTTTCTGGACCATGTCCATCGTCTGGTATTCTTAAGAAACATACATAACGTTTCGGACACTTGATTTGTTTCCATCCTCAGATGCGGGGTGGGAGACACCACCTCTGTTGGGTGCATTAGAAAAAGCTAACCCCATAACACATGTCAGTATAACTACGGATACGTGAACGCCTGGAAGGTAACGAGAAAACATATCATAAGAGTTAGGAAGTGCGTATACGCATGGCGTAAATATTCTCGGTCGCTTACTCAGTTAATTTATAAACCTACAGAATTTCAATTTGTGATTTCTTTAAAAAAAATTAGCATAAAGTATGTCTTCAAATTCTCTCTGAAATTTTTGTTCCAAATATTCTTCGCCCTGATAAAGGTAAAGGTGTCCCTGCGCTTAACTAATTAAGCACTACGTAATGAAGGCGTATGGGGGCGTGGATGTATAGATCCACATTTTCTTGACATCGACACTAATTGGAGGTGGGTGGTCAGCTTCACGCCCCTGTCGCTTTACCCCCGGTACCTACTAGATACGAGGCTGGGTGAGCCCAATTTGGAGAAGAGAAAATCCTTGACCCTACCGGGACTCGAACTCCGAACCCTCGGTGGTCCAGCCCGTAGCCAGTCGCTATACCGACTGCACTACCCCGGCTCCTTCGCCGTGATATGTAGGCTTATTTTGTCAGTTTCGGCTGAGACACGTGCAGAGCATATGTAATGTCCTCTTGTAAACTGTCCCATTACTTTCATTCGATTTTAACAAAAATTCGATTATGTCCACAGCAGTTAGTGTAACATCACGAGATTCTGTTCAGCGGTTCTAGAATGTGTAAGGGCTTAATGAACGTCCAAGAGTAACTCTGGGGCTTATTGATAAGATGCTCGGTGTTAATCTAACATTAGAACAAAAATGTATTTGAATGCTAGCGTAGTTAGTTGAGGCACTATGCTACAAGCCGGGAGGGCGCGAGTTCGAGTTACGATTCCTTCCAGCAGCATTATGGCCCTGAGTTCGACTCAGCCTCTAACAGAATTTTCTTCCTCTCTCCTTTATTGACAATCAGATTGTACAATCTATAAGCCAATGTGCTGATTGGTGTACAATTTAATAACTATTTATTGTACACTCTTCTGGCGTGTGCGGACTAAACATCCAGTGATGTTTTCTTCAGTTCGTTAGATCTGATGGCCAAATTCTTTTTGAGTCTTTGATTTTCATGAGGTTGTAATAGTGGCTGAAGAAGTGGGTTGGAGTGATTTTCTAGTTTGTTGAAGTACTTGGTGCTGTTTTCTCGGATGACTTCTGTTACGTAAGGAGTCTAACAGAAATAAGTACCAGGAATCATCCTGGGGGATATAGAGCGGCAGTCGCATAAGACTGACAACCTCACCGCCATCTGTGAGCCGACTGTCTAAGAGAATGTGAGAGCCTCGACGTCTCGCAACCCTATGGGCCTTCAAGGCCTGTTACAGGGATAGCTTTTTCTTTTTTTTACAAAATTAAGGACAGAAGGATACATCTGATTGATTGGGAAGTGTCAAGATGATATCTGGTGGCATGATGTCCGTACCTAATTTCATGGGGAATCAATAAATTAGCATCTATAATACTGACTAAATTAATGAACGGATGATCCAAACCAGCTCCGCAACAGGGCCTCGAGTAAGGAGACACGTGAAAATACAGTTATATTCAGTATTCATTCATTCATTCATCGAATGGCTCTACAGCCCTCTGTTGAGCCCTGACCTCTTCTTCAGTTTCGTAATCTTTTTTACACACAGGGTAGAACCCCTTGGACGTTTAATCAGCCCGTCGCAAGGTCGCTCCCTACACACACAATAAAAACACAGATATCCATGTCTTGAGGGGGATTCGAACCCACGATCCCAGCGTTCAAGCGAGAAAAGGAAGTTCATGCCTTAGACCGCACGGCCATTGTGATCGGCCATTAACAGTATTACATACTCGTATTCTGTAATTAATGTCATGCTTCTGGAACTGTTCCAGGAAACTCACTCCAGAAGCGTCTGATGATGCTTAATGCACTGGTTCAAGTACGAAAGCATCCCTTCGTGGAACAACGAGGCCTGGTCCTGGTACCTTTCAAAATCATTGGTACAAAATGGTGATATGTTGGTATTTCTGAATGGTTGAATCTCAGGACTATGAGGAAGACCAATGTCTTCGAAGGTGACATCCGTTGTAAGTCTAGCAAGACAATCAGAACATAAGAACGACATTATCAGCTAGAGATTCACAAAGGCATCTGTATTTGGTGTGTTCAAAATGTATATAATAAAGAATAAGTAAGCATTCAAAATGAGTTCAGAGATCCTGCGAACATGGCTCGGAAAATGCTTCAGTAGTGTTCGGATAGAGGCAGTATTCATCTGCGCGTTTCGTATCCATAGAAGTCACAAGGAATTTTCCAAAGCCGGAAGAAGGAGAGAAAATTTGCTTACGAAATTATTCCTTGCTAGTTACTGGTCGTCTTACACGCATTTTGGTTTTTAAAACCTTTAAAATTTTAAATTTCAGATCTCATCTACATCACTGGCGTATACACATGTCTCGACCAACATGGGTTTAAATTTACAATTTTTAGAGGTTTTAAAATTCAAGTTGCATGTAAGATGGCTACTGATAACTAAAAAGGAATAAATAAGTGATACGCAACACGACGCTAAGATACAATTTCGTTGCTTACGAACTTACATCTAAGCATTTGAAGACTCATTTTCGAAGTAATCATAAGAGTATTAAGGATAAAAGGAAAAATATTTAAAAATAATTTCAACTTTTGGAATTAAAATTTCATAATTTTCCTTCTACTTTTTTTTTTTATTCTTCCAAAAAAATCCCGGGGAGGAGACGTCTGGTTTCCTTCCCTTCATGTAAGTGTCCATATTCATCATCATCATCATCATCATCATCATCATCATCAGTAATCTGTCAGACGAGAGGTCCACAGTCTCTTCCAAAACAGTTCCTCCACTTAAAGCGATCTATACCCATATTCATATGAATAATTAATTCAAATGAATTAAATACTTTTTAAAATATTTGCCACTTGGCGTTTATATTAAATTTTACTGCAGCCGCTTTCCAATCCCTCCGTTCTGCTTCACTGTAACTTAATTCATTTTTCCTCTCAAAAAAGGCACACTGCATGAAGGAATGGTACATAAAGTAAGCTTTAACCCTTATTAGTAACTAACGCCTTGAAGCAAAATCCTTCTTCAGAGGCGAACAGTCATTTGAAGAATTTCCCAGCAATTTATGGAAGCCGCAGTTTCAATACCATGTTCACAAGAGCCTGCCATTGGTCCCTATCCTGAGCCAGATAAATCCTGCCCACATCCTCATATCCTGTTTCTTTAAGATTGTCTATCTATGGCTTTACAGTCCTTTGCTGAACACTGGCAGCTTTTTCAGTTTCTTCATCTTTTACAGAGTCGGTAGGACTCCTTGGACGGGGGATCAGCCCGTCGCAAAGTCGCTACCTTCACAGAATAAACGCACACAGACATCCATGACTGGAGTGGGATTCGAACCCACGATCCCAGTGCTCGAGCGAGCGAAGACAGTTCATGCCTTAGACTACTCGGCCACTGTGATCGGCTTCTTTAAGGGCTATGACACACGGAGCGGTTTTTGCAGACTCGGCGCGTAGTTCTGTTGCATTAGAAGGGATAAAACATACAAGGCGGTGTCGTCTTCTGGCGGTGCAGCGAGCGGTTTGAAGACTTGCTCCATAGATTGAATACATTCTCAGCACTTCCCGCCTAGTCGGCGTGCAGCATCGTGTGCTGTCACAAGGCTGCGGCCGACACGGCTCAACCGCTCCGTCTGTCATCGTCCTAAGATCTATTTTGATATATTTCCATCTATTACTGCTTTTCTAGAGGGGTCTTCTTTGTTCTAAGACTATAAATGCACTTCCTAGCCACACCGCGCCTGTCATACGATCCGATTTCTGCACACTCCTCCCTTTCCTTGCTCATATCAAGCAAAGAGGCCAAATCTTGAAGCGTCTTGCTGTGCACGTTCCTTCCGCCTCCTACACCCCCATCCTTCTTATGTCCACATATCCCAGAAGAAATTGTATCGAAATAAAACTACCCTTGGTCCTCCAGTATAACCTCTACAATATCATATTTAATAAAAATAATTTCAGTAATTTCTGAAATGAAACGTGCAGACTACATTCGGTGTCACGTAAACTTTCCCAGCTCTGTATCAACCGAGCATTTTTCCTGAATTTAATGTCTAGAAATTTCCCAATCATCTTTTTTTTTATTGCTAATGGGGTGGGACTAAGTCCCTTGTACTGCGGCCACTTCTGGCCTATTGTACCAGCCCCAGATGATAGGTGAGGGTGATTGTGGAGCAATTGGTGGAATGAAGATTGGCAGGGGAAACCGAAGTACTCGGAGAAAACTTGCCCCAGCGCCACTTTGTCCACCACAAATCCCAGTTGACCATACCCGGGATCGAACCCGAGCCGCCGCGGTGGGAAGCCAGCGACCAACTTCCCAGACACTTATGGCATATCATTTAAAGACATAAGATATGAAATAAGTTTTCCATAGAAATCTTTCAATTAACCAGTTCCCAACGACACGATTAATTAACACTGCAGTCTTCGCTCGTGGGCACAAATAAACAACAAACAGTTCATCAAACTGTTTACCTGTTTTCGGGATGGGAATCTTGTGTAGTCTCCGAAAGTTCAGTCTTAGTGCCATAAATATCTGAAAGATAAAGTCAATGAAATATATTCCACCATGTTGTTTCACGGACGGAGCAAAAGCACAGGTGGGCTAACTGGCTTGTGTGTACAGCAACGACCAAAATATGGTCTATAAAAACGAAAGACCTAAGCGCCGGAGTGCTAGATTAACTGAATTCGAAATTTGCAGCCTACCATAACAAAACTTGCGTGTTTTTTTAAGATCTATGGCGCTTATGTCGCTTTCTCCTCAGATGTTCGCGTGGTCTCCATGTTAGAAATATTTGGGGAGGGGATATAGCGGTTATGTGTGCTTCATTTGCACGGTATTCATGTTAGTTTCCGTGATAATCGGTCTTTGTTTCAACAGTTATTATGAAGTCAGGAGCAGAGAGACATGATGATAGCATAAGCCATATAGCAAGCTAAAGGAACTCTCACCAAACAGTCATCTCTCTCTTTCCTGTTGCTCCCACTATGGAGCTTCGGGCATCCGTGAAACGCTTTGTTTCACTTCAGTTTCTAAATCCTAAGAGAGTCGGTAGGACGCCTTGAAAGGGGGATCAGCCCGTCGTAAGGCGGCTACCTACACAAATAAAGAATAAACGCAGAAGAACATTCATGCCTGGAGTGGGATTCGAACCCATGATCCCATTGTTCGAGCGAAATAAGACAGTTCATGCCTTACACCGCACGGTCACTGTGATCGCTCTGTATACAGCAATCAAACTTTCGTCCATCCGCTCCGAAGTTTACTTCCAAATGGCGCGTTGTATAAACATGATAAATATATAGAGATATTCCTCTACAAAAGTTAACCGTTGGAAAACTTTGCCGTTACATGCATGAGTTCGAGTGCAAGTCAATTTTCTGACCCATTTTTTCTCCATAGGAAAAACATTTGGGACCGTAAAGCTATTAGGTATATAACCTCAATGTGTTCTACGGCAACGAAACCTAGACGTTAAAAGTAACCCCCTTAGACAACACAGATATAATGCAGTGTAGACCGGTGAAATTCAACAGACGTATCGGAGGAACTTGTCTCCTCCATCTTCGGTTCCTAAGTGAAAGCCAAGCAAGAAACCAGCAAGCAGAGTTTACTTGCTGTCTCCTTTATGTTGGTTTCTTGCGTGGCTTACTGTTCGACTTTGAAGACAGAGACGCAATGTTACTCAGAAACGTCGGCTGGCTTACGCCTAACTACACTATGTTATATCCCAGAAGACAGAAACCTTCATACATGTGTAGTCACCTCGGTGCAAACCTTAGGTCTAACAACAACAAAAATTGTTTCTCAAGTTTCATAGCAGATTTTTCTGCAGGGCTATGCTACTATAATCGAATTCTGATAATATTCACTTACCAGCTGTTAATGGCGAGGCATTGCCGTTTCCATGGTTACTAAACATTTCTGTAACATTCATCCGAACCTGCTGTAACGCATTAGCAAGGACGGCGAACTGTGCCGTAGTATAGATTATCAGTGCCAGAAATGTTATATTCATTACAGTAACACACGCAAAATATACCGTCATGGCCAGCAGTTCATAGGCCGTAACCAGCTCATAGTACGGTGTCTCTATGGCCTGAAACGGCAACCATTCCTTCATCACTGATTGCCTCCGGAGTGTTATTTGTTCGCCGAATATTGTAGAATTTGACCTTACATCAAGTTTAGGACGTGGTGAAGTATTGAAATATATAGATGAAGTAGTCAATGCATATGAAATCCACACGTATTTTGCTAGCCTTTTTGTCAGATGCATGTAAGATCCCAGTAAAGACAATTCTGTGTTCGTATGAGGTGCTTGATGCACGAAATAGTTTCTTTCGAGAGAGTTAAAGAGGGAGATAAATTTCGTGTGATACACGATCATTGTTCCTAACTTCATGATGTTTTTCATGTGAGCTATCAGAAAAATAAATCCATCTCCCACATCTTGAGGCCTATCACGCAGAATATACATCTCTATCACAGTGCATATGAAATGCTGGGCGTGCAGAAATACAGTAACACACTGGAGCATGAAGTACAGTGACTTCTCCCAACGAGTCGACAAGCGAGAATAATCTATTAAAATGCCAAAAAGACTCAATAGTTTTAAGTTAAATCTCAGAATATTTAATTTTCTGAGTTCGTTTGGTAACCCCAGACGATCTATTCCGTCTGAGTTCATATCTTTATTCATAAATTCTTTCTGCTTACGACAATGTAACAAAGCTTTCTTCTTTAAACTCAAGTTTTAAAGCAATAAATAAATTTTATGTTACAAAACACAGTAGCGTTCTACGGTGTTCGGATTATTAGGATTTTGTAAATATACTATTACAATTTATATATGGAGTATAAAAGATTATAAAAACAAAAAAGAGGTAATCTTCTCTTGTAATCCACGCTATTATATTCCTTGATATTAATCCAAAAATGTTATATTATTTCAATCCTGTACATATATGTGTATTCCTGCAGACAGGTAAACCACTCCGTAAGAAAATGTTGCGGTTTGCAGTACAAACGTTGAATATCTACTGCTGAACTGAAAGAAAATTGACCCAACATGTTTTTCATTGATTTCGTGTGAAAGTATTTCACATTCTTTTTTTAAATCCCATATAAATTGTTCCTGCAGATTAGTAGACCTACATATAATTTTCCGTTAAAAATTTTCGATATTCTAGTGTAATTTTAAGACAATTTAATTCACATTTAAACAATTTCAGGAAATGTTTCCTGGTAACCAGCAGACAGGACAATGCTACGAAAATGTAGACTCTATACGTGATGTCTGTATTGCATTTAGACAAGTATATTTCCTTTAGAATAATTTATATCACGTAAATATAATGACAGGCCGCAAGTTGAGGGAAACTGCCTCAAATTATTGTTAATAGAAACGTTATAGACCTTTCCACATGCGTGGGACACCTACAGAAATTAAAGTGCTTCTATGTTATTACAGTTTTTTTCATAAATAAAACAAGAATCAGCAGAGAACAAATGGGAAAAAAATTATTTGAAGACGGAATTAATGATGGGATAATGACAACTTCTTATTATCTCTCTACGTCATATTTGGGTCGGATTTCGAGGAAAATAATATAAAGTGGAGGAGAGAAAGGATCAAATAAGAGACAGAGTAAAAGAAATGCGGGTGATATGGTGATTTCTGAATTGTGAAGATTACCGGTAGCTCTGGCTACTTGTACCTAAAGGGCCGTGTGTATAAACGATCAATAAATCCCATATACAACCCAAAACCCAATCGATAGTCACCCCAACATGTGACAATATCTTCCCCTGCCGAGTACCGAAGCCTTGTGCTCTAGCATGAAGCCAACGATTTTACTCGTTTGCATATGCATTTGTGTCTTGTGCCTGCCACGTGATATTAAGATTTGGGTTATAAATGGGTCTGAGTAACTATGTATTTATTGTGAGACATCCCCTACAAATTACGAACTGGGACTTCAGCACAAAATGTTTTAAAGTCTTTTTTCTGTATATGAATCAGATCCAGTTCTAAGTAATATTCCACCGATATAATATCATGCCACTTCCTGTAGTGGAGTATAAGGAACATCCTCAATGCTAACGTCAACGCTACTGTGACGCCAGCAACAAAATTGCCACAGTTTCCTGCAGAAATCCTGGAACGAACGCTATAACACTACGTTCTCATTATAGTGAAATTAAGTTAAATGACTTATTCATTCGCTCCGAATTCTGAGGAAGAGGTGCATGTCTCTTGTGCGTTTGGCTTCCAGCAAACCTACTTCAGGATTCAAATATAAAGTATACTCATTATTCAAGGTAAGATTGTGTGCCTATGACCGTTTAAAACACTGACCTGCAAATTCTTCTGATAATGAACAAGTAAAATATTAATGAAAACATAAAACTAACCGTCATACAAAGAATTATGTCTTCTGTGATATAATGCTGTGTAGAGCGTTGAAAGTAAACCGAAGTTTCGGAGGAATATAGTGCCGTCATCTTCAGGGTCGAATAAGATGAGTAAGAAATCAGCGTGAAACCAGGTGGCTCTGCTTGGTTTGTTGTTCGGATTATTTTTCGATCCTGAAGATGGAAGCGACATGTTCCTCCGAAATGTCGTTAATTTTCAAAGGACTACACGGTGTTTCATCCCAGATGATATAACTCTTCATAACCACCGCTGTGAGAATCTCCAAGTTCTACAAATGCCACACTAACCCTTTGGTTTTGTATTTCCTATTGCTATAGACTGGGGGCACGCGGTAGGGTAGTTGGTTGATGGGCTATGCTACAAGCCGGAAGGTCGCGGGTTCAAGTCCTGCTGAGGTCATCAACTGCTCCCAATTCATTAATAATAATAACATGGACGGTACATACTCACGAAACTGACAGCGTCATTAAGTAAAAGTAAAAAAAAGTAAAGCCATCCCTGTAACGGGCAGTGAAGGCCCATTGAGTTGTGAGATGTTGAGGTTCCCACATTATCTAGACAACCGGCTCATAGATGGCGGTAAGGCTGTCAGCCTTAAGCGCCGGCCGCCCTTTACTCCCAAGAATATTCCTGGTACTCATTCCTGTTAGAGGCTGAGTCGACCCCAGGACCACAGTGCGGCCGGAAGGATTAGGTCAACTGAAAAAACCAATGATGTCATCAGAACTTGAACTCGCGACCTTCCGGCTTGTAGCACAGTGCAGTAGCGACCTTAAAAAGTTACGATGGCGTTTGTATTATTACAGATGCGTCTCCAATCCTCGCTTCTTTTGGCTGCGGCTCTGGTGTCTTGCGTAGGGACAGAGAACAGTGTCCACTCTGAAGATGTGAATGGCAAAGAATATGCGTCCAGACGTTTCGGTGAATTGGGTACCATCAACAAGAAGCTTAATAAGAAGCTTGAAAATGCTTCAGTAGAAATTGATGGATTCTTAGTCAATCGTAACGAATCATCAGCTCACAGAACGATAGAAATAATTAAGGAGTACATAAGCAGCAGGGAAGAGTTTATAGAGCAAATACTTATCCTAAAGACCAACGCCCCGCATTTGAGAAATTTATCCTTCCTCGACGAATCCAGGTGGAATAAGGAGTTAAATCAGACAAAGAAGGAGTTGTCGAAGCTTGAACAGGTTCTGAAATTGTACCAGATGTTACTTAAGTTAAACGAGACGAGTGAAATAGCCAATGACGTAATAAAACTATTTAAATTGGAGGGAAAGGGGCGACATCTAGAGAGCGCAATTAAGTTAACGGAGGAATTAGTACAGGAAATAACATCCTTCATTCAAGAAGTATCTGTTGTCCAGAATTTCATAATATCCCAAAATTTGACAGAGGTCATTACAAGTATATGGATTGAACAGCTCTTAGACATACAATACCTGGAAAATCTTCTGAAAAACAAAACTGAGGATTTACGTGCACTTCAGAGAACAAAAATTCCAGTAGTAATCAACATATATATCCGACCTTCTCTGTTTGTGTTCATTTTTGTGGTAGGACTGGCAGAAAATGGTGTACTCATTACCATTTTCGCCCGTTACCACAAAATTCGCAAATACAGAAATATGATTATCCTTAACCTGTCAATCGCTGACACATTATCTCTTATTATCAATTTGCCTGTGACGCAACTGTATGAATCAGTGTCGTCATGGAATGTGAGTCCAGTTACTGCCCAGATCTTCATGTTTTGTCGGTTCCTTTGCTTTGGGCTCAGCGTTTTCTCAGCATCTGCTCTCTGCTTACAGCGCTTCTCAACAACCCTCAAACTTTCGGTTCGCAGTGGATTCATTATCCGACAATCTACGAAACACGATTCTATTATTCTGATTTCAGCAGTTTGGATGCTGTCTATCGCCTTCGCTATACCCCATAGTCTGTATGGCTGTATTTACTTCGAGGAGTGTTTCAACACAAATGTGGAACTAAATTCCAAAATAGCAAATGATTTGTTCTTAATCGATCTGATTGGCCTCTCTCTTATTCCTGTCGTAGTCATCACGATACTTTACTGGTTCACTGTTCGTCACCTGAAACGCAGAGCACTCAGACTTCCAGCAGACTTGCCTGAACATCAAAAAGCATACCAAAGAAAAATACTGTCAAGAAGCAAGAACATCATGACACTAACCCCAATTGTTTTTGCTGTCACTTCTTTGCCCTATTATTTTTACGTAACTATAGATTCTTTCATGGGCAGCGACATAAATTCTCTTTCGTACACAATCATTAAAGGAGCCCTATACTGCCTGATTTTTGTGAACTGCAGTTTCAATCCTGCTGCCCTATATTTCACGAGCGGAACTTTTAGACGTTATGTCAGAATGCATTTCTTCTGGTGCAGACGAAAGACAGACAAACGTATCAAACAAAAACAAACACAGCGAGTCTTACCCGGTGAGGAAGACAATACAATGGACACTGCTCTTTGAAGCACAACATTTCTGACACGAATATATCGACAAGTCTACATTTGTTCCCGCAATATTCATCTTAGATACTAAAAGCCAAATTCTGAGTGTCAGAACTTTGTGTCTCGGCACATCACAACTACAAGACGTTTGGATTTCGTGCTATGCAAAATTAGAATTCTCTTTCAAATTCGTAATTATTTAGTACAAATCTATTAAAGAGACATGTACAGCAGGCATCAGGAGGCGTAAGAAGAAATTTAATAGCCTATTTTAAAGTACCTTTTCTACATTTGCGAGAGGAACC